TTTTTATATATATTCTTTTCTACCATACCATTATTATTATAGGAAAAATTTGATCATTTTGAATTTATGCATTTTGATATAATGAAAATGATGTTGCCTTTGTAAACTAGGAATAAGATAAAATAAATATATTGCTAGTACCTTTTTCATTAAATCAATATCGAAAAGAATTGCTTTATCATTCCTTCTTCTCAACCAAATAACAAACGAATTACTTTTTCTCTATCAAAATCTTTCTCCTCCCCTCTTCTCAACCAAACAAAATTTTTACCTCTCCTCTTCCTTTATCATTCCTTTTATTAAAATCCCTCTCCATTAAAATATAACAAAACTAACTTATTTTCACTTTTACATAATTATATAGATAGATGATAAATAAAATTTTCAAAAGTAAAATGTGAACCCTAGTCACCGCTATAATATTATTATTTTGTCCCTTAATTTTTAAAATAATTTATTTCTCATGTTTTTTATTTAATTTTTATTTTTTTCTCTACTTGTTCATAAATTTGTTTCTTTTTTATTTTTAAATTTTCATACTCTCTAAATAATTATTTAAAATCATTCATACCTTCTAATTATTAACTACTTATACATATTTAATTTTGAATTTTAATTTTTTTTTAAACTAAAGCACGGATTATTTATTTTATACTTATGATGATTCATAATAATAATGAGGGGTAAAAGTATTTTATTTGAGTGCTTTGTGTTAGTTCTGTCATTATCGGGAAAACCATAATAGCATACATAATTTGTGGTTTGAAAAAGCAGAATGCAAAACAGGAATTCTAGCTAATGCGCACAAAAAGCAAACAAGAGTGACAACTTACAAGATATACTATTGCAAATAAGTTTCTTTTCCTATCAATGTTGGGATCATATTAAAATGTAAATGAGTTTCTAAAATTTAAACAATCCGCAAAAATAAAAAATAAAAAACTGGCATACAAGATGGATCTCGTTTGAAAACTCTACAGTTTTTGTGATTTTTTTTCATAAATTTGTTTAGTTATTTGATTTAATTTATTTTTAACTCATTATGCTTAAATATACTTATTATGCATTTGAAATGTATACTAATTATTATAGATAACAAATTGGACAAAAATTTTAAGTTATCAAAATTATATAGAGATTTGAGTTATAATTGTTTAATTTAATTTCGATACTAAACTAATAATTGAAATAAATTTAAAATTATTTAGATGTACAATCAAAATAGTAACGAAGAATTTAAATTTATATAATGAGAACGGTCATAAATTGATTTCATTACTAGCTATATCTTCTTGTAAATCATTTTAAATTTTTTTTCAATATTAAAAATTATATAGTTAATTTAACACTCCACAATTATATTTAAACCGTAATTCTTTAGAAAATAAATTCTAGGTTATTTAAGAAAAATCTCAATTCCTTAATAATTTTTGTTAAACAACTCACATTAAGGTTGGGGACAAAAATTGACTGATAAGACTTATCTTATTCCTAATAATAATTGTTATCAATATTTTACCTAAATAATAATTTTAAAAAGGTTTTTCGACCTCAATTAAAATTATAAAATTATGATGGCAAGGTTGATCAAGTCACAACAAATATTAATTATAAAGTAAAATGATTTATTAAATAAAGACTTTTTATATAATGAAAATAGAGATTTACATGAGTATACTAGTTATCACATTCCAACAATAGAGACTTAACTACTCATGACTAATGATTACACAATATAAAAAAAAATCTTTGAGTGGTTTGTGATTATAGAAATGCTCTCTCACAGAACTCTCTTTAATCTTTCTAAATTATGTTCTTAAAAGTTAAGATACAAAGACCCTATAAAATCCCAAAAATTTTAATATTTTAATTACTTTCATTCATGTACTCTCAATCAGAGCGCCCATGGGGTTCACTTAAACAAGCCTATTCAATCCTTCCAGAGGCATCTTTGACTTATCTCACTTAAAGCACCTATCTTGGTCGCTCTACGAAAATTCTTCCACGCTCAAAACGAGTAGTTTATTCGCTTAAGCGAGGTAGCTTCATTTTCTAGGAGTACTATTTGAATTGTCTCGTTCAAAATAAGGTTTTGATTACTTTGAGCGAATTTTGACTCACTTAGAGTGAGCACTGCACTCACTTAAGCAAGTTAACATCCTCTCTCAAGTGTAGTCTTTGACTTGCCTAACTTGAAGAGAGCTATTGGTCGCTTTGAGCAGATTTGGCTCGCTCAAAACTCATCCTATTGGTCTTGGAGTGGTGTTGATGAGTCCTAGATTTCAAGTTACATTTTTCCTATCACATCTCAACCAAAAAAATATATTAAAAATGCTTAATATTAAACAATTACATCCTAAAATAAAATTAACTCTTAACTAAGTGTTTTGTTACCAAAAACAAGATTTTGAAGCATAAGATATATTTAATAATTACCTAAATTGAATAAAAATTATATACATATTTAAAAATGGGACAGACATGTTATATCCTAAAACAAGCCAAAAGGGATTTCAACCATTTTAACTCACATGTAGTACCGGCCATAGATCTATACTTGGCCTCCACAGAAGATCTAGAAACAATTGGCTCTTTTTTTTTTTTGTTTTCCAAGAGACAGGAGAAGAACCTAATAAAACAAAGTAACCCATCAATGATTTTCGAGTCAAAAGGAAACTTGCCCAATCACTATGAGAGAAGGCATAGAGTTGAAAATTACTATCCCCGTGCAGCAAAATACCCTACCCAAGACAACCTTTTAAATACCGCAAAACTCTCAAAGTTGCATCCCAATGTTCAACACGAAGATCACCCATGAACTGAGCTAATATATGTACAGAGTAACACAATTCAGGTCGCGTAATCATCAAGTGGATTAAGCGCCCAACAAGCCGTCAATATTTCTCTAGATCATCAAAGAGGACACCATTGATGGTGGTTTTGTTCCATGGGTGTAGAAACCGGGCGTGCACCAAGTAAACCAGCTTCACTTATAATGTCAAGAACATATTTACGTCGCGAAAGAAACAAACCATCCTTACCACGTGCTACTTCAATGCCAAGAAAATACTTGAGAATTCCCAAATCTTTCATATGAAATCTCTCACTGAGTTGTTCCTTGAATTTTCTAATTGCCAAAGAAGAAAAACCAGTAATGATAAGGTCATCAACATATACAAGGACATGTAAAGAAACATCACCTTTGGAATAATTAAACAATGAGTAATCAACACAAGATTACTGAAAAACAATTTCCATCAAAGCAATTGAGAGCTTAGCAAACCAATTTCGAGGCACCTGTCGGAGTCCATATAATGACTTACGTAATCGACACACCTTACTTGAAAAAGTAAATTAAAACCAGGAGGGAGTTGAATATAGACCTCCTCGACAAGATCGCCATGGAGAAAGGCATTATGCACAACCATCTGGTAGCTCCCATTTTCTTGCTATGGCTATAGCAAAAAATGTGCAAACCATGACCATTTTAGCTACAGGAGAAAATGTTTTATTAAAGTCAAGTCCGGCAACGTGTTGATTCCCGCACACCACTAGGCGCCCCTTTAATCATTTAATTGTACCATCAGATTGGTACTTGACTTTATAGAATCACTTATAATTGATCGTTTTCTTCCCAGGTGGAAGTTCCTCCAAAGTCCAAGTCCCATTTCTCTTAAGTGCATTGATTTCATCTTGCATAGCTTTGCGCTAACCAAGATCCTTAACAGCTTCTTTAAAAGAGTTGGGTTTATTAGTTCCTGTAGTAATTGCTGTCAAAAAATGGGTGTGTCTCATAGAAAACTTATCACAGTTTACATAATAAGCAATGGGAAAAGGAGTACCTGAGGAATTTGATGGAGCAGGTGATGTGACAGGTTTTGTAACATGAATGGTGTTGGTAATGAAACCTTTGATTTTACTAAAGGGTTTCTTTATTCGATGACCGCGACCAGTTTGAAGCAAAATAGTATCTTTAGTAAGTACAACATGTCCAATATCGGAAGTGGCACCAAGTAGTTGGACAACATCCAAGTCGTCACTCGCAGGTGGCAGGACGTGTTGTACAACCTCGCTATCGATTGCTTTTGTCATACTCGAGGGTGCTGCAATCCCCCTTGCAAAGGAAGTATCCTCAAAATAAGTCACAGTGTCATAGTACTTTTTATTTTCAAATACAACATCAGTGGTATGCAAGTAGGTTTCATTGGAATAAAGAAACTGATGTTCATAAAAAACAACATCTCGAGATATAAAGAATACTCTTTCCTCTAAGTCATACAAATGCCATCCCTTTTTACCAAATGGATACCCCACAAACATGGATTGACGAGAGCGAGTGCCAAACTTATCCTTCACATGAGGTTGATTCTTGGCAAAACAAAGACAAATGAATACATGAAGGACATCATACTTAGTAGATGAACCAAAGAGAATTTTGTATATGGTGTTTTGTCATTGAGAAATGGAGTAGGGGTTCAGTTGATAACATAAGCAATCGTCATTGTACTCTTCCTTCAAAAAGAAAGAGGAAGATTAGCTTGAAAAAGTAGTGCCCAAGCCATATTAAGAATATGTCGATGTTTGTATTCTACCCTACCATTTTGTTGTGGAGTGTTAACACAAGAAGTTTGATGAATAATACCATTATTAGCATAAAATCGATGAAGGCATGTAAATTCCTTTCCATTGTCACTTTGAAGAATTTTAACATGCTTATTAAATTGAGTTTGAACCATTCTACAAAAATCCTTAATAAGTTGAGGGACCTCAAATTTGACAGTCATCAAATAAACCCATATAGCTCAAGAACAATCATTAACAATAGTTAAAAAATATATTGAGCACCACAACTAGCGGGCAAAGTATACGCACCCCATATATCACAGTGAATTAAATCGAAAACATTTGTTGTTCTACTAATACTCGAAGAAAATATGCTTCTAGTTTGTTTGGATTTTAAGCAAATGTCACAAGGTTCATGGATAACATTAACATCCTTATTTCCATTATTGTTATCAGGTAACAGAAAATATACTTTCTGAGAAGGGTGTCCCAATCGTTAATGCCATAACTCTCATTTATCTCTCACAATTGCTTGATAAGCTTGAAGTTGTCGCAAAGGCCAAAACCAATAAATCTCGTTCCATTGCTCACCCACAGCAATCAGAGTCATCAAAGCACGACCCTGTATGATGCGAAGCTCATCAATAAAAGTGACAAAATAAGAGAGATCAGCTAGCAAGTGAGACATTGACAACAAATTACAAGTAAGATCTGGAACATATAATAAATTATGTAGCACCATATATATGTTTGTTCAAAGTTATCATTCCTTCCTTAGTGGCAATGATTTGTTTACCATTAGCCAATCTAATAGAAGTAGGAGAAACATCAAATAATTGACTAAATAATCTAGCATTACCAGTCATGTAATTCGAGCATCCAGTATCGAGATTCAGTCCACAGTGGAATCAAACTTACCACTCAACTTTTCAATTGAAGAAGATTTCCCTTTTGAAGTGTTGAGAATGTGTACAAGCATAGCCCATTGATCATCCAAGAGACTAGGAATGCCACGACGATCTGAATCTTGGATGGGTGCTTGAGCAAAAGGCTTCAAGGTTGTTGCAGCATGTGCTACCTGTCCGTGGCCTCCTTTGCCACCACAATGCAGCGTAGCATTATAGTTTTCACCATGTAACACAATGGGGCAGATTATGATGTGTGGTCCATCAGAGGGATGGAGGGAGAATGGTGATGTGGAGTCAAGAGATTTGGGGGTTGGGGCATCACCTATGACGAGATGACAAGAATCAGAGCTTATGGTGGAAAATTGAAGGTTTCAATCACTGAAGAATGATTGAAAAAAAAATGATCGTCGTCTCCTATATTAGAGTTGCTCTTGATACCATATATAGATATGCACGCATACGTAGAACAATAGTTTTATAATTGATTCTTTGTTATTTGAATTTGGTCATTGCGATGAATATATACAAAGCTTTTCTATTATATTCATAAATAACAGTGTTAATGTAAGAAACAAATAAACTAATATATGAAATCAAGGAGATAATTAATCTTGATATATTGTAGCCTAAAAAATATTTATAAAGTAATTACAAGGATATATTTCATTAATTACCAAGATATTCCACTAATAACAATTATCAATAATATGAAAAAAGAGGCACTCCATGTCTTTCTATTTTTAAATAAATTAAAATAAATAAATAAAAATGAATCACGTAGTGGGTAGTTATGCAAGTAGTTAATTAAAGAGGATAAAAAATTAGGAAAAAAAAACACATTGAAAAAGAAAAAAATAATTTAGATTTATGAGTAAAATAAAAGTGTAAAATTGTCTATATAAATTGGAGACCAGAATAATAATTAAAAATAGTATCCTTTATATAAGATATAAAATTCTTAATAAAATGTGATTAATATTTATACAAAGATCCTTTTAATTAAAACATAAATATGTGAATTATTTTTTAATTCAATCTTATATCATGTAATGTTATTTAAAATAATTATTATGAAGTTATCACGTGAAATGTAGTATGAAATACTAATGCAAGTATAAACTATTGTTTCCACGCAGTATAGTGTGTGATGAGAGGATCTAATTCGTCCAGTTGGATAAAGTAGGAAATTTCAATCACTAACCAAAAAAATAAAATAAAATTGACGATTGACATTACGTACATAAATATAACAATTGATGTATTAAAAGTAACTAATAATTTCTTCAAAAATCAATTTCTATTATTTACTTTATTTTTATTCACTTTAGAAAAGTTAAATCATGATGAGTTATTATTAAATCATGATAAGAGAGTATTATTATATATTCACCAGAACAGTAACTTAGTAATTAATGAATTTAATAATCTTTATAAATTCAATAATAAGCAGCAATTTATATAAATATTAAATCCAATTAAAACAATTAAAAGATTACTAAAATTGATTTACACGAGTGATTATGTTTTATGTTCTTTAACTGAATTCTTACATAAAAAGTTTAAATTTCAATTTAAGGTATGAAACATTATGTTCGATGGAAAATACTCACCTTAATAATAATAATATTTTTTTTTATTAATATCATGATTATAAAAATAAAAAAAAAAAACTAGGATTTAAACAACCGATGAAAAACTCCAACAAGATGTTTGGACTTGATAGAAAAAAATGCTTGTAATTCACTAGATTTGGTTATATTATATATTTCAAAATTATTAAAACAAGATCTTTGTACTATTGTTTTTCTGTCCTCATGGATCACTAACTGTTAATCCCATTAACTTCTATGAGCAAGTGGATTTCTTGCCAAACTCGATTGGAGGATGGGTGGGTGAGCCCTCTTATAAACATATAGTGAAATGTTGTCACACTTCACCTTCGCATCATCTCATTATCTTATAATGCTACCTTAGTCCAATTGATAAGGATCAGGTTTCTATCTCATTCAAACATGAGTTCGAATCTTACTAACGATGTGAAAATATTATTTGGTATGAAGTTTGTAAATATGTACCTCTTTAAATACTATTTAAATAATATAACTAGTAGTGAAAAATTACACAATAGATTCATGAGAATTTAGATTTGATTCCCATTATTATTAGTACTAATAAATATATAATTGTTCTTTAGTATTAAAGTTTGTTTTGATTTTTGCAAAGTATGAAACTTGACTAACCTAAATTTTTAATTTAAAAAAAGAAGATATTTTATGATGCAAATAGACTTGCTCTATATATTTAAAAATCTATTTTATAAATGGAAATTTTCCAAATGCTTCAAATGAATGTTCACCCTTTTTATTTGTTTTGAAACTTTAACATGTCTTATCCATACCCAACCTCATCAGCTCCACCAAACTGAGTTCTCATAAGTGCTTTGTGGCATTATTAAGAATTATACTTTATTCAAAAGAACACACTGAACTACAAAAGATATCGTCTGGGTGCTGCCCATTTCCACACACCCACAGACTTCAAATTTTAATGAAATCTTTTACAACGTTATGTGTCGATAAAAGAACAATTTAATTTGAAGCATTAATTAAGATTATATTATTCGTGTAAAATGCTAAAATTTAATCTCGGCAAGATTTTGGAAACAACTTTTCAGAAATTTTCATCACTATTTTGTGTCATCATGTACTCTCGACAACGATGGTTAGGCATAGCTGGGCCAATTTTCTCATTTCATGCGTTCAGATTATTGACTTACGATGTTACCTTGAAGCATGTTTTAGATCCCAATCACATCATTTAGATTTGTTAATGTGTTTCGATTGAAAACCCAACTTTTACGTATATATAGTTTGGTTCGTAAGTTAAAGCGTGATTTTTTTGTCTTGCAATTTGTCAATAGTCACACTCAGAATAACACGAGCAACTATACATATGCACCTCACCTACTGTTTCATGCTATGATTGGTTTTTCTTTACATAATGATAGGTAGTACTTTTAATATTCTCCACTTTTCTCCCTTTTTTTTTCTCCTTTTCTCTCATCCTCATTTTCTTTCTTTATTTCTGCAATAACTTTAGCTGTGTCAGACTAAGGGGACATTTCAAATGGATAGAAATTCTTGACATGAACATCAAGTTTCACCAATTCATATTAAAGAAACATATCGTGCCAGCAAGTCAATAGCAGTTGAGATTGGTGCAAAATAGCCAATTCCCTCATTCACACCGATACTTTGTGGATTTGAAGCACTTCATGCTTCTGTTAATATAACTATGAGAAATATATCTGTAAGTAGTGGGTGAAGCATTTCATGCTTATGTAAATATAACTGTAAGTAGTGGCTGACGTGAGTAATGAGTAATAGAAATAACTATTTAATAAAAAAATTATGTAAAAATAAGAGAATAGATAAAAAAAAAAATAGAAGTAATAAATATCTCATTTATCTATTATTAATGAGGTTGAGATATTAAAAATAAAATAAAATTGAGATTAAGTAATAAATGTTGATCCAATTAGTATTGTTGGTTCTTGAATCTCAAGATTTTGAGTTTTGTCTTAGATTTGACAAAAATATTAACTTTTAAATTTTTAATAATAAAAAAATATAATTATCTACTAAATATAGAGACTTAGATAATTAATGAAAGAGATATTTTCTTTATATACGAGTATAAATTATAAATAAATAAATATTAAAAAAGGAGTACAAGTGCTAGAACCAAATAGCTACAACTTTTTGCTAAAATTCCGAGTTTAAAAAAGGAGTACAAACTACAAAGATAGCATTGCTACTATTTTATACTAAAATTTTGAGAATGGTAGAGGCAGGTAGGTTAAGTGAAGTTCAGTCTGTTTAGATAAATTTTTTTTAAAAATATCTTCAGATAAAATAAGAAAAAAATGGATAAATTAAAATTAACTTATATATAATATAATTTTTGCCTTTAAAAATCCTTTATTTGACTTTTATTTTTTTTTAGAGAATTATAATGATTTCTGCGGCTTTTTTTTATTATTTTAATTTTCAATGGCACATCTACGTCTATTTAGAAACTAACTAATGCGTGGTTCAATGATTTGATAAAATAAAAAATAAAAATGTATGAATAATTGTAGATTGAGATGACATAATTCAAAGATTGGTCATGATGGCATAAAGATTATTTTTTAATACTAAGGTGACGGCATGAGAAAAGAAACATTTTTGTTTTGTGCTAAAATCTTAGAATGCGTAAGAGAGTTTTGTGTCGCATCGGAAGGGTTAGCAAGTTCATAGATCTTGTAGGATATTATTTAGGTTCGTTAAGATATGGAAGCATAAATAAATAAATAAAAATGTTGGATGTGACGAGGTTGAAATAGCCACAGGGTATCTAGCTGTTGAAATTTGCACACACATGTATGTTAGTTCGGTGGATGTTTCTGACTAACTATAAGTATAACCTCATGAGGTTTGGCAAAGTCTTTTGTTTTTCCCCAGTTTCATTTATAATCAAATTATCATGATTTGACATGTTTATTTATTATGTTTTTTTTAAGGTTTCATTTACTCTATTTTAAAATTTAGTCTCTTTTTAAATTCTACTTCTGTCACCTGTTTTTGTACAGATAAGTTAAAAATTTAAATGGGCCCATTAGATAAACTTAAATATTAAATATATTATTGATACTAATTATATATGTTAAATATAAATATTATATTTTAAACAAGTCCACGTATATGTTTATTATTTTTTTTAAAGTTTAAAGTTTAACCATTTAAGTTAAAAAAGGGTTTCTAAAAACTTTCATTTTAACCTTTTTAATAAATGGATCAGGTCAAGTTAAGTTCTAAATTAATCAAGTCAATTAACCTATTTCTATCTCTAATTACATAGAAGCTTAAATTTTAAGTTGGATAGATGAGATATTATATACCATCTTAAAATAAAAGTGACTTTTGGACAATTTACTTAAAATAAAAAAATATTTTTAATTTTTATATTTTCATATTTTTAAAAATATTTTAATATTTTATTTTGTATCACAATATATATTATTTATCATGAATCTAAAATATATTTTATATGTTTAAACTTATTTATTTATTACAAATTTCAATCATAATAAAATATATAATAAAAAATGTTTTTATAAATTTTAGTTACATAAAATAAATAATTAACTTATATAGTATACAAACTAAAATGCTAGTTATATATGTAATATAAATATTAATTTTAAATAAATATATAATTATAATATATTTTAAATAATAAATAAGTTCATCTATCAAGTTTATTAAACTTTTTAAAAGCCTAACGCCTATATTTTTAAGATAAACTCTTAAAGAATTTTGAGTTTGACTTTTTTAAATATAAATTAGGTCAAGTTGTAATTGTTATTTGTTATTTGATTTATTTTCACTCTAGTTACAATAAAGCTTAAGCTTAACTTTGATAAATAAGATATTGTGCAACTTTCCTAAGGTCACTTTTATTTATAATAAAAAGTATTTCTAAAAAAAATTTAATATATTTTTTAAGAAGTAAATAAGAGTTATTTTTTTAACAAAAAGCACAAAACTATTTTTTAAAAGTATAGCTTAGAAAAATACATTAAAAATATAAAAAAAAAATTATTAAAAACCATTTTTAAGAAGAAAAAAATTAAACAAACAAATCTTTTATCGATACAATAAAATAAAAAGACTTTGGCTTTTGAAGAATAATAGAACGACACATGTTTTTTTTACTAGACTTTGTTTTATTATTATTTTTAATCTATAAACATGATTTATATAATATTCTAAAATTACCAATCAGTTGGTTGGTGCAGTGATAGCATGGGGCTGCACTTGGTAGGGAGGTCTGCGGATCGATCCCCACAACGGCGATTGGGAGGGGCTTAAATACCGTAATCCTTGGACCCGTCCCGAATCCGGATTAGTCGGCCCATTGTGGTTCGGATACCGGGTGGTTATACCAAAAAAATATAATATTCTAAAATTAATAATTAAATATTAATCTAGTATTTAATGATTAGAAAACATTTTATTAGCTCAAACACTTACTGATATTATTTTTCTATATTTAAATATAAAAAATAGTCTTAACTTTTTTAAGGTATAAATACATATATGAATCTTAATTATCAAGTTATATGATTTTAATTTTACTTGACTTATTTGAGCCCATGTATTTTTTATGCGTATACTCATGCTTACGCAGGGTGTCATAATCCATGTTTCATAAGCCATTTTGATTCCATTATAAAAAATAAAATATAAAAAGGCATTGTTATACACCATGTATTTTTATTTTCTTTAATTGGGGTTTTGATAGTGCGAGTTTCTTATTTTCAAAAGTGTGATGATTCATTTTTTCAAGTCTTTGGCTCAATCAAAGATGGTGCCAGAAAATAATGGTAGTGGCTGCTCTTCTCGATCCATTCCTGTTTTGACACGTTACAACAAAGGAATTCATCGTCAACTTGTCTCATCTATTCGTTATTATGTCAAATTATATTTATTCTAACATCCACAATTACAGTATCATAACTAAATTATTATTTTTTATTTCAATAAATTAAGAATATATCTCATACTCTTTACTCTTAACTTATTACTCTCAATAAAAACTCAACATAATTTTCTTAATAAAGTTTCATGTTTAAATATTGTAATATGTAATTGAGATGAAAACGAATTGTCAATAATCAAATCAATAGATATAAATACTCAAAATATTAACAATTCTTAAAAAAAGAAAAACTATATTGGTCGGAGTCAAATAACATCTCCATTTAATGACCAATAATATTAATCTGAGTCCTTTTCCCATATATTCTTATCCATCTATTCTTTCTCCCAATGCAATGATGAATTCAGTCAATTTAGAAGCTTGTCACTTGTCATAGATATTTAAAATGGATATATTATTTCGATCAATCTTAACTTCAACTTTTGAAAAAAAAAAAATAATATTCACTGTTGTGCGTTCAACATATATTATTGGTGTCAAATTGTTAAAGTGATTGATTTGTCACTTAACAAATGCTTTTTAGTTTGCTGACATACATTAAAGAATTGGGTTAAGAATTATTGAGCCTCGTACAATAATCACACTTATAATTAGCAATGAAAAAAAAAAACTGGTAACGCATATATTTATAGATAAAAATCCGTTATAAATTTTATATAAATAATTAAATAAATACTTATTTAATAATAAAATTGGTGAGGATATATAGATATTTATACTTTAAAAATATTAAAACTATTTTTAATTAAATATAATATAGTTTAATTTAATTTATTTTTATACTAAATATATGTCTCATAATTATTTATTTTATTATAGATATTCTTTTAAAATTATTTAATTTTAATTTTATTTTATTTCTTATATTTTTATTTAAAAATTTATATTTTTTCAAATATTTACGAATATTCATAAATACTAACAAATATACAAAAAATTTTATGGATACCGACATCAAATAGATACTATTCATTTTTCCCATTATCATCTCTACTTATAATTAACGAGAATAAAAATCATGTTGACAATCTTTTGTTCATATTAATGTTCCCAATTAAACTTTTTTTAATATACATAATTTTTTTATTAAATTTTTTTTTATCTGAATTAAATAAAATTATTATAAATAATAAAATTATCTTTTTAAATATTTAATATAATTATATATATAAAATTCAAACTTAAAACTATTAATTAAGCTGAAGCAATTCTATACCACTTATTTCAAGTGTTTATCGGTCTCCAAGTTAAATGATTGAAGAGTTTGGGTGAGTACATTTTGTAGGTAATAAAATGAGTTAATCACTTATACACTATTTGTATAAAGTTTTTTTTACACTGCCAACTAATTATATCTTTTAATTGTGTCATGTCATTATAAACACATTTACTTTTAACAGTGACATGACATAATTAAAAGATATAATTACAGCAGGTGATTAACTCTAATAAAATTAGCATATCATATTAATATTTATTTTGTGTTGTCACATTGCTCTTTATTTTTCAACTACAACACTATCTGTTGTAGTTCTCTTATTGGCTATTTTATGTAGGGTTTTCCATGCGATATGGTCACCATGAGTTTGCTTTGCTAGGCAATGAAATTGCAACGAAATTATGTCTTATTTGTTTTGTCACTTTGCTTATGTTTTGATTCTTGAAAATGTATATAGGTGTATTATTGGCTTCTTTTCATTCTTTATATATATATTTTTTTTCCTGAAAAATGTTGGCAATCGTTGAGGGACGTGTCCCAATTTAAACGTCTAACTTTAGGGTCATGTGAACGTGCATTTCCTTTAAGCAGATTTCAGATAGTAGTACATGCAACTAAGATCTAACCAGATGAAGTTCATTTCTCGTGGTTATTATTGTCATGGACTTAAACACAGGTTAAGTAAATATCTTTCGAGCAAAAATGTCGACACCAAGTTTTCAAATGTTCAAAATCACGGGTTCAATTTTCATGTCATCATTTCAATTTTTTGTACCTCTTGATTTGAGTGATGGTTGGAGCTTTGAAAATGAAGGTTAAATTGAGGTGTGTGCCAAAGAATAAGTTTTCAAATCATAACTTGGGTTCATTCAATATATTAAGATGTTTTGTACCATTTATTACATGATTTGTTTTATGAGTTTATTTGGATAATTTTCTTCATAAATATTTTTAGTAGAGAAAAATAAAAAGAGAAAATAAACAATTTTTTTATAAGTTGAAATTAATTCATGTATAAGTTTATTTGCAAAATTTCTTTTTTTAACTCATGTATAAATTAATTTTAATTTATGAAAAAACTATTAACTTCTCACATAACGTGAATTTGAATTTTCCCTTTAAGAAATAATCTTAGTTATCTCTAATATTTAAACATTTTTTTTTACCTCATTTCATTTCATTCTATCATTCCCTTTTATCTCGACATTTTTATTTATTTAAACATATTAGATATCAAAATACAACTTTATTTGTTAATACTTTAAATACAGAATTAATTCAATAATGAATGAAATTATAAAATATAAACTAGGTTGAACACTTCTTACAAAATTCAGAAAATAAAATAAAAAATAGCGCTAATTTTTTAATTGGGCCTCTACCTTGTCTTTTGGGATCCCAAGTATCAACACTAAACATAATTAATAATGTGTGTTTGATTCACACAAAATTTATGATACCGGATAAAACAAAAAAAAATTGTGTTTAATTTATAAAAGATTATTTGTTAAAAAAAAAATGGCAGAAGGAGAAGGTAAAATATATTGTTATTACTCAACAAATTATGATACAACATTTTTTTATGTATAAAAATGCCCATCATTATATTATTGTACCAATGTCATCTATCTTATTGTCGTGTAACACCATAGTCGTCACCTAGAACCATTGCCTCCATAACTCATTACTACGCTACCATCATTATGTCATTTTCATTAATATTATTATTATTATTATTATTATTATTATTTTTATAATTATACCATTTTTACAATAATTGCTCTTATTAAAATAATAATAATAATTTTTTGATAATTAATATTAAAAAATATTATAATAAATTTAACATTATTTTATTTATATTATCTAATGCTCACTAAACAATATACAAAACAAAAAATTGTCTAATAATATGAATATTTCTCTTATCTTATTCTCTTTATCTTGTATTTTTAACATGTATCAAATGCAGTCCAAATGAACAAGTTCTAAATCTTCACATAGGAATATAGGATCATGTATATTTTTAAATCTTTGATGAATGAGAATTGAATTTTACAATTTGCGCAGAAAACCCTTATGCAGGTCTTCTTCTCTTTCCATGATATTTTCCACATAAATATATTGTTAGAGGTTAAAATAAGTTTTAATGGCATCACTTGATGCAGAGGACCTTTGCCTTCTAAACATAAAACATAGAGTAATTCAAAAATTAATCATGAAAGATATGTGTTGAGTTCCAACCCAGAAGATTGATGTCTGGTTAGAAACATTTACTGCCAATATTTAACAATACAACAAAGAAGGCCTTAGAGGAGGCCCTCTAGAAGTCCAAATGGACTGAAGGCCCAAACATCAATCCATTATGAAAGCCCATATAGCAATTTCAACATCCACAGTTTTGAGCTGAGTATTTATTGTGTTTAGGGGTTAATTAGTACAAAAATTAGTCGAATATCAACAAGTCGTTGTAGTATAGTGGTGAGTATTCCCGCCTGTCACGCGGGTGACCCGGGTTCGATCCCCGGCAACGGCGTCGTATTAATTGTTTTTTTATTTTTAAATATTTTTTTGGTGTTTCGCTTTTGTTGAAAAGTTTTTACAAAACAACGAACGGAAGATAAGAACACTAAAACAGGGTTAGAAAAAAAAAAAAAAAGGCATGGGGTGGGGTCACCTCGGAATGCATGGCTCAGATTCCGGCGACGGCGCGGAGGCCGGTCCGAGCACCGCCGCCACGGAGCCGCAGCGGTTCCCTCCGGCGGCGCAGCCGGAAATGATGCGAGCCGCCGAGAAGGACGAGCAATACGCCTCTTTCGTTTACGAAGCCTGTCGCGACGCCTTTCGCCACCTCTTCGGTTCTTCTCTCTCTCTCTCGCTCTCTTCTTTCTTTTTTTCGGTTGATATAACGCTTCCGATTTGGAGTGAAGTTTTGTTGTCTTAACTCTCGGCGCAGGTACCAGAGTTGCGGTGGCTTACCAAAACGAGGTAACCTCTCTGTCGTTTAGAAGAAGTAGGTTTGTGTTTTCAGTTTGAAGATGAAGTGAGTGACCGCGTTTTCGTGTTGATTCCGTCGTAGACGAAACTTTTGGGGCAGATGCTTTACTACGTTCTCACCACTGGCTCGGGACAGCAAACCCTAGGAGAGGAATACTGCGATATCACTCAGGTTTCGTACTCCAAATTTTGAAATTCTG